AGACAGAAAAGGTTCCCAGTTCTTTTGGAGCAACAGACACTTGTTACAAGCGGAGCCTGGAGGCTGAGCACAGCAAAGATCCTTGGGGCCCAGAAGGCACAGAGCTAGCACAGAAGGAGGTGCTTAAAATTGAATATAACTTAAAAATTCAGTGTTTACCACCCTGTCACCAGACTGCAACATGGGTACTTTCACCTCTGTGTTACTGACTCCATTATCTGAATCTTCCAGCCTTCTTTGTGATGATAGGGAAAGCATTAAAAGTGTTTTACCATCATCTCCCATCCTCTGTGGCGCTACCAAGTGTCTGAGCACCTTTGTAAACAACACCAGAATAACAGCCCAGAGCTTTCCAGTCCTGCTGTTTCCAGCAGGCAGCTTGCAGTTCTTACCACAGGGCTCTTGAAAACGGATGCACTGAAAGGGGATAAGTTATTGTTTCATATCCCTTCAGCAATTAAGGAGCTGATGGAGCTCTTGCTATAGTCAATTAGTCTTCATGCTCACTCTAAAGGGCTTTGGATTCATCCCAAAGTTAGTGTCCTCATTTTCTGTAATCCTGGAAGTGTTTATGCCTTCCCAGCCTCTGAGCAGGGATGAGCCAGCTGATGGCATATCCAGCCAATTATAACCTGAACAGCTAGGAGGGAATTATTTATTTTCCATTTGGCAAGAGGGACAGAAAAGCATGGCAAGGCAGGCCAAGACAGATGAACAAACCCTCTTTGCAAGCCCTGTTTGCCACACAAAGTATCTGCAGCGTGTTTTTTTGGCATAAGCCTGCAGTGCAATTTCTGCTTTGTAATGAAGCATCATTGGAGGCAGGACACTTGGAGAGAGAATATTTCAATAGAAAGACCAAAGAATTTTGCTTTGCTTTTTGTGATGTACATATATTCTTTCCTTGCTATTTCATGTTGGTAAATCGCTCTTCTCATCCTGATTTTAGTATTTCCCACCTTCTTCCTTTCTGTCTGGATGTTGATCTCACCAGATCTTGCAGGATAAACTGATGAGTGGACTGACTGGGCTCTTCAGTGAGAATCCAGAGCACTGCAAAAAATGCTGCTGATGGCTCAGGAAGTGTTTTGCATCCTTCTCCTTTAGAGCTCAGCTCGGTGCCCTCTCTTTATGAAAAAAGTCTTTATTCAACACACTGTCCTTGCCATGAGATATTAGTCAACCTGATGTTCAGCTATGAGTGACCAAGGACTTTAATAGCACTTCTACAAGCAGCAGTTGTTTATTTTTCTGCTTTGGCAGGAGTCCAACCAGAACAATTCCATTGTGCCCAACACCTCTGGCAGCTCAGCTGGCAGGAGCATTACTCTGTCCAGGAGAGATCATGGGACAGGCAGTCAGGTGTCTGAGATGCTGTTGCTGGGTCAGATGCTGAGCAATGGTTGTGCAATCACAGGCAGCTCACGGCACCTCTGCATGCCTCAGTTTCCCATGAGGTAAACAAGGAGGCTGTTTACTGAAGCCACAAGCTCCGTAGTACTCGGTTAATATTTGAAAAAGTGTAGAATTGTTTAAAATCCCAGGAGTATTAGGAAGCAATGGAAGGCTCTGTTGCACACTGTATTATTTTACAATTTTCCTATTGTGCCTCCTACACTCACACTACCATTACTGCCTGCCAAGAGGTTATGGATCTTTTTGAGTGAAAGGTAGTACATAAACGTAAGTTATTGTTGCTTGTACCAGCTGATTTACAGTTTGTGAAACCAGTGGCTCCCACTTAACATTTGATCCTGAAGCCAAAAATGTTTTCTGGAACAGCAGGAGCAGCAGTAAGTGATGTCAGGGTTAGGGTACATGGCAATGATGTCTTGGGCAATACTTCTTGCAGGGGGAGTACCATGAGATTTTAGCCAAACATTCTAAGCAAATGATGGGTTTGTGACAACATTGCCTACTCCTGTGTGCTAGCTTGGATTTACCACCCAGAAAAGCAGCTGCCTAATCACATCAAAAGTGTTTTATTCCTGAAGTGAATTAGAGAGAGGAGAGAGACAGTGTTAGTGTTTCCACTGAGGGATGGGCTCCTCTGCTGTTAGACCTCAGAGAAAACTCACCCAGGGAAAATGTTCTGTGAGTGGTTTCTTTAGTTTCTCTTTTCTCAAATTACACTTTTATATCCTCACAAAAGAGAGAGATTTTTTTCACTCCCATCTCTTCTTGATAAGAGTTCTAACTCAGATGGTGACTTCCACAGAGAAATTTGAAGTTTGGCTATTGGCTTGCAGGATAGTCACCATCCTCAGATGAATTTAAGACTAAAACTTATCTGAAGGGTTATCTTAAGTCATTGCAAACAATTCACTATGATCTGATTCTGTCTGAAAATCTCCAATAGTAGCTAAGTAATGGCTGCATATTGTATTTTAAAAAAAAATCAAGGCCCACATTGATCTTTAGCTGAGCTAGATCGATAATTTGATTCAGTATTTGGATTCAGGTTTAAATACAAGTTACTCTCAGCACAGTGTTCTTCCTTTTATTTTATGGGGATATTCTCTCCCTGTTTCTGGTGAATTTAATAGTGCTGACAGCTGCTGAGCTAATAGCCCCAGCCACTAAAGTGCTGTCTTGCAGCAAGGGTGCAGCACTGCAGAGGAACAGCTTTGTCTGGACACTGTAAAGAGCCTTTTCAGTACTCTTTGACCAGAGAAATGAGGAGATGGTTTATACACTCACTTTGTTGTCAGGCAGCTAATAGGGAAAGTCTCTGGGGTTAGGGGTAAGTGGGAGTTTTTCCCTGGGGTTATACTGTAAATATCAGCTGGGGTTTGGACTCGTCATTCATTCTGGCTTTTTAACATAAAAAAACCCAACCTTCTGGAAGATGGAACAGCTTAGAAAGCTTTGCTTGCTTGTTTTGTGTTTTGTTTTTGTTTTATTTTTAACTTCATACTTAACATTTAATATATCCTGCTGTACAGGGAACAGACATCAGGACCTGAGCTGGCCCTCAAACCCAGTGTGTGCTCTAACCTGGTTTGGGCAAATTACATCTTTTTTGTTTCATGAAAAACTAGAGCTGACAGGTATTGTAAGAGATTATTTACCCCATCCTTCCCCCTGAGATTACAATTTTCC